AATTGTTTCTGTCACACAGATCAGCCCAGGCATTGTTTTCCTGTTTCAACTGTTCCCCCCAGAAGTCATTTCCATACCCCACAGAAGTAGCACTATGAGCATTTTCAAGGCTGTTAATCTGCACTAAAAAACTGACCTCTGGAAACATTATACTGATTATATAGTAAACACTAAATTAATGAAGAGTATCTGTTTTCTTATATTTTTGTCAACCTTGATTATTAATACTTTTATTTTTAATACAAGTAGATTTTTTAAAAACATAAAAGTATGAGAAAACATAGTTTAATGAATTTCAATGTATGCAAATATTTTACAATTTGTTTGAAATTCACATGTAATATTCTGAAAGTTTACAACTGTCAATGTGTCCACACAAATTATGTAACATTTGAAACAATTAACAGAAATTTAAAGGGTTCTCATTTAACTGAATGTTTAAAAGTTCTCTTGAAACGAAGCAATCTTGGAAGAAATTATTTAAAACATAGGATCATTAAAAAATATGTTTAATAAAGAACAACAATGTAAATGTTTCAAGATAGAGTCATCTAGTTGGGAAACAATGACCTTTTAACTAGAGGTCCAAAATTCTTTTGAAAAATTAATAGATTTTTTATTGGAATCCAGGGAGCAAGGCTACTACTGTTCTTTTCATAAACACACAAAAAGTTAGTACCAATTGGCAAGGTCACCTGTTTGTATTCATGAGATCATATACATGAAGAGTGATAAATAAAACCCAACCAATACTTTTATTAATGTACAGGAATCCCCCCTTACCTGCAGGGCATCCAAGACTCCCAAACGAATGCCTAAAACCACATATAGTACCAAGCCCTACACATAGCATGTCTTTTCCTAGACATATATACTTATGAAAAGGTTTAATTTATAAATGAGGCACAGTAAGAGACAAACAAGAATAAAATTGAACAATTATAACAATGTGCTGTAATAAAAGTTATATGAATATGGTCTCTCTCAAAACATTTTATTGTACCATACTAATCTATTTTCTGACTGTAGTTGACCACAGGTGACTAAAACTGAAATGTGAAACCATGGATAAGGGAGGACTACTGTATGTGATTCCTAATACAAGGCTATTTATTTATTTAAAACGATTTATCATTGTGATGTCGTTTGTGCTTTTTAATACAAGGTCCTTCAAAAATTATTTGTTTTGCTCAGGGCAACTAGTTATGAAGATTTAAAGCACATTAATGTTCAACATTAAAAGGTAATTGAAAAAGAAAACTCCAAATAGAATCTTCAAATCTTCTAGTCTCTCCCATTGTCTGATGTTTGAAAACAGATGTGTTAATGACTACTACATCATGGCTTACTTTCATTTTTTTTCTTCCCTAGCTAGGAAAGGAATTAGGAGAGCTCCCAATAAACATGCCTCTATTTTGCTGCCTCTACAAACACAAGGAAGGAACAAGAACAACAACAACAACAACAACAACAACAAAAACCTGACAATTATATATATCCCATAGCTGGCATATACAATTTAATTAATTCTGGATTTGTGAAATTTGGCATAAGGTGCCTAGGAATTGCTCCTGGCCTACTTAGAATATGAAAATATGAGATAAGACTGCTGGACCTAAACTTCTCCAGAAGAAGGGTAAAGGCTGCAAACTAAATTTTCTCCTAATATGATAAAACTGCCTCCAGGCTTTATCTCTTCTGCCCCTCTGCCTTTTGTCTTTTGGATGGTCATGGTTATAGATGTTGGGAAGGCACTGTTAAAGAGAAGGCACTTGGAATTAGATCCCTAGAGAATGGCCCTTGCCTTATGCAAGTCCAGGAGGTGCAATTCACACTGTAGTTCATATGACCTGCCAGTTGCTTATGGTGATCTTTCTGCTTCTAAACCTTGCTTCCCAAAGTATGAGATACACAGGGCAAGCAATACATTCAAGAACCCAGCTTGGTAAATGTCTTTGCCTCCAACATTCTTTCAAACGATCATTAAGTGGCACAACCTTTGTGAATTTGGGTCCCCACAGGTACAAAACAAAGACCAGCAGCTTTTGACTCAGAAAACCCAGTTTCAATCCTGACTAGCCACATGCTAGTTTTGTGCTCTTGGTCATGTTGCCTAAATTCTCTGAGTTACGATGTTCTCACCAGTAAAACAACAATGATAGATTCATAGAGTTGCTAAAGAGGATTAATTAGGATAGCATAGGTAAAGTTCCTGGCACACAGAAAGCAATTAATCAATGTGAGCCTCTCTGAAGTGAAAGTAATGCATCCTAATACCCAGGAGATTTAGAGCAGAGAGCTATACTGTCTAATATGGCAGCCACTAGCAACATGTGATTATCAGTTAATTAGCATTAGACTTTAAAATTTAGTTCCCAGGATGCTCAATAGTCACATGTGATAGATAACTATATGGACAGCACTGATATTTACCACTGCCATCATACAGAAAGTTCTATTGGACAACAGAAGAAATGATAGAATTAAACAAGAACCCAAAGTCCAGAAGCCAAAATCTTTGCCATTAACTATGAAACTTCAGAGGAGAAACTTTATCTCACTTTGTCACAATTTCCTCACTGGTAAAATGGATACTGCCTTTGCAGTAATGTGGTGGGGATCAGGTACACTGAAGTTACTTTTTTTTCCTTGCTTTCTCTTTATATTCCCAGGACCCCAAGACTAAACAATACATGACATAATCACTAGCAAGGATCACTTTGAGGATGAGTTAGTTGATGGGTGCAGCCCTTTGGTAGTTTAATATTCATAGCCATGATTTGGTATTATTCCAATGCACCTGTAAACAGTTAAGAACAGCATATGTTCAAAAGTGCAGGAGTTACTGCAGACAGTTCTTGTGGTGATGGAAAGACACAAACTAACAAACCTGAATTGGTTTTCATTGGCAAGTGGCTTTTTGTAGACTTTTTGTAGCTCTCACAGGGTTTAAAATGGAAAGATCAAAGATCATATTCCCTACTTTTCCATTTCTGTTTCACTTTAATGCCTAAATCTACCTTTTCCAGGTTTGAAAACAATATTCCGTTGCTGTCATTTTGGGGGCAATGTTGTATTTTATTTATTTATCTAGAGCTGGGGTTGGCAAACCTTTTATGTAAAGGGTCAAAGAGGAAACATTTTAGGGTCATAAGGTTTCTATCACAACTACTCAACTCTGCTGTGTAACATGAAAGTAGCCACAGACAACATGCACACAAATGGGTGTGTCTGTGACAATAAAACTTAATTTACTAAAATAGGCCCTTGGGTCTTAGCTGCCAACTCCAGATCTAGAAAGATATGAAAGAACATATCCTTTTCACTTCCCCACATTGTTTTTTCCCCACTATGATATATATTTTCTCACTTATTTTATTTTTGAACATAGTTTATCCTACAAATGATCACAATCAGACATCCAAATATTTACTTTAGTAATGTGAAAAAAATAATCTTCCTTCTCATTTTTATCAAGGTTTTGCACTTAAAAAACAATATAATTCTTCATGACATTTTTTTTTTTTCCTCAGAGAGAAAACTGAGAGGAAGAGATATGAAAATAAAATGTAGAAGAATTGTAATCTCGTTCTTGGAGGAGGGGATAAAGCAAGTAAATCATTTATGTGATTATTTCATAAAAGGGTTAATAACAAGTACATAGCCTTTTATTTTCAAATAAGCTCAAAGCCAAAACAATCAAAAGCATTGATTACAATTCAAGATGAGATTTTGGGTGGGGACACAGCCAAACCATATCAGGTAGTTAATACATTAAATGTAAACTTGTCTGAATTTTTATGGCCTGTAATATATTTATTATATAGAAGACCACAAAAATTCTTGTAAATGAACCAGGGCTTGGTTCAGGAATAGGTTACTGACCTGAAATTGATCACTGGAGTCATAAAGACTCAATTTTGGGAGGTGTCTTAGAGTTACCGAGAGAAGCTTCTTTCCTTCCTCTCTCCTTCCTCCCAATATTACTCTTTCTTTCACTTATTTGCTCATTTATTTTCTCTTTCCCTCTCCTCCCTCTCTCTTTCTTTTCTGAGGATACTAAGTTTGAGAACCTCACATGTAATGGCCAGCAGCCACTATTCACCTGTAAAAATGGCCTGCCTGAGAATAAAACTAATCGAGACAAGCTACGCTAAGGATGCAAAAAGAACAAGCTCTGATGGCTTTGAGCTTATTTGAAAATAAAAGGCTATTTGCTTGTTATTAACCCTTTTATGAAATAATCACATAAATGATTTAATTGCTTTATCCCCTCCTCCAAATTGGGTTGACTGGAAACATCAATGATTGTGATTCAACATAGTGATTCACAGTCCTCTTCAGAGATCAAAACATTTAAAAATGTCTGTTGACGTAATACAGGTTTTTTTTTTTTTTTGTTTTGTTTTGTTTTTTACTACACCAACTAGTGATTAAGCTATCAAAAACCAAAACACACCTAAGAAGATGTTAATATTTTTCATTCATTGCATAGGCATCAAGAAAGGATGTAAGACTGATCTATCAAATAGTTTATTTCTCCATGGCAAACATGGCTCTAAACAATAATGACTTTTATACTTTGGTCCACACATGAAATTTATAAGAACAATGTAAGCTGGTAAAAAAACAAAAATGTTTGGTCTGCTACATATTTATACATTGAAAGGAAAATTAATGGTGGCAATTGAGCCTTGCTAAATGGAAGGAGTTTATACTGGTATCTCCCTTTGCGTTACGCAGACTGACATCACAGTTTAAACTGTCAGACATCTGAGACACATTCCTGGGATTCTGGCTTGTGTATAACTTTTACGCATTCAACAATCTCCTAACACAGAAATGAGTATCTGATAAAGTTGAGTGGAGCTGGAATAATCCTGGAATGACCCAAATTATCAAATTTTAGAGACACACCTAAGACACTAAGGCTAGTGTCTTTGTAGAAAAAAAATTATTTGAGGAATAAAATTGACTAAAATGAGAAATACACACAAATGTTTCAGCTTACAAAACATAATTTTATTTAAATTTGTATAGATAAAAATCTACCAAAATTTAAACAAAAACTTTATGCAAATCCTTTCCCACAACAAAATTGGACATCATGGAAAAACCCCACATTCAAATAAGGTTCCCATCTTTCTATCATAAACGGATAGATTCTGGGAGGATGAGGAGTAAGAGATAAACGAGGAGAGAAGATACTGATACCCAACACAATTTGATCTTCAGTGTTGTCTCATCTTGAAATGACTTAATAACAGAGATTTCCATAAGAATCAGGATTCATTTTTGACACAAAAATGGAAGCTTCCACTCCAAAATCACAAATAAGGCTTCTGGTTTTCTTTTTAGAGTGAGGTAAACAGTATATTCAATATTAAGGCAAATGGTAAAAACACATGGATGGTATATTAATGCAGACCTTCCATTATTAAATATATTTTAGAACACTCACAGATTTTTCAAACATATGTTGGAATTAGAAACCTGTAAAATCTGCTGCAGTGTATAATAGCTATTTGCTTGAATGTCTTAGCAGTGCCTTTTTAGTAGCTAATGTGTTCAGTGTAATCTTGTGCCTTTTTAGTAATTAATATATTAAATATAATCGTGTCTGAGTTTTTAAATGGTCTGTTTTTCTTTTGCATTATGTAGGATTAGATGCCCACCAAAATTCTTGTAAATGAAGCAGGACTTGATTTCAAAGTCTGCCTATACACACGATATTTGGCCACACAGACCGCTCCCCAAAGTCTGCAAAACACTGCCTACTGAGCAGCCTTGCAGTGACAGAAAAGTATGAGAACTCAAGACATTATTTTTATAAAGACTAAAATCAGATTTAGGCTGTCTAGACCTCTTATTCCAGAAAACAGAGATTTAAGATTTTTCAGTGATTCTTGCCTTCTCCCCCCCCTTTTCTTCCCCAATGAGATAACCATTTCTTTCACAATGATGAATCATCCCTTTTTATGGAAAAAAGGCTTTCTTTCTCCATCGGATCAGGACAAAGACATCACTTCTTGGCCACACTGGCCACAGCCTTCTTGGCTGCATCCTCCAGGTCAACGGCTGAAGTAATGGGGAGTCCGCTGTTGCTGAGTATCTTCTGGGCCTCTTGGACGTTGGTTCCTAGAAGGAGAACAGGGAACAATCACTGAATGAAACTAGAGGTGGCGCCTTATGAAGTTTGCACGAGGATACACAAGACTCACCTGTCTACAGCTTTTCACTAGGAAATGAATTAAATATAGGTTCTGATCAAGGTCGCTGACAGAAAAGATCATGTGATGAAATTTATCTCAAGCTGTGGTCCAGCTAGAAATGAAGATGAAAGCAAGGGCTCGCAAGAGGGAAATGAACATGTTTTACTGATGGAAGCTGAGATGTCTGCTGATAATCGCAGCCATGTGGATCTAATGTGTTTTTGGCCCATACCAGAAGTCACCTGTCTTAAAGCCCTCTCGGACGTCATCATGGGTTTGGGCTATGACCTGATTTGAGAAAGGAAGTTCTGAGAATCTGCCTAGCTGTGCCCACAAATCCATTGCTGTGAAGACTCTGGCAGCATCCAGCATGTCCATTTCTGCCTTCTCCTCACTCTGTAAAATGAAATGGGCTGAGCCCTTCAAAATGGGCAATGCAGCCTCTGATGGCAATCTCTTGACTGTTCCTGGTGGACCTGGAGTATCTTCTGGCCAAGTCATCTCATTCAAAGGTGTGCCTGGGGACTATTTAACATGAGAACTGCTTTTCTGCCCTATTAGAGTGAACAACTCCTTTAGGAGAAATGTAGGAGAAATGTAATAGAATTTAAGTGTCTAATGAAATATCTCACGCTATATCATTTCCTGTCCTTTTATCTAGTTGGCAAGACAGAGCCTATTAATAAACAAAGACCTTGAAATATAGGCCTTGGAGAACTTGCCTTACCACAAAGAGTGTAAATAAAAAGAGGCACTGGGTCAGCACGTTTCGTATAAAGAGACAAATGCTGGGTTAAATAGGAACTGGTGGATTGAAAAGATGATGCAGCACTGATTCTCCCGGGACCCTGGGTCTACCCAAGCAGCAGTGAAGACGAACGCTTGGCACTGCGTCTTCAGCTTAAGGCTCACCTACTCCTGTATTTACAGAGGAAGCTGGTGAAAGGCCTCTCTGGAAAGTGACAGCATAAAATGTGGGAAGTGGCTACCTAAAATCCCCATCGTGGCTCTGCCATGTACTTGTTATGTAGTTTTGGGTAAATCATTTAACTTATTTGAGCCTTAACTTTTGTCTCCATACAGAGCACTATCATCCTCATAATCTTCCCCAGAACTAATATCATTAAGTGTTTATCTATGCCAGGCACAGTGCTAAGTAATTTACACACAGCATATGAAATCTTTACAAAAACTATGAGTAGTCCTATTGTTCCTGTTTTACAGATAAGGCAACTGAGGCACAGAGAAGTTAAATAACTTTTCCATAGTCACTTTTCCATAGTGGCAGAGATGGGACTTGAACTGTTCTCTGTAATTATAAACCCTGCATGTTCTAAAGATATGCTAGTCTGCTTCTCTGCTTGTAAAATGAGGACAGTAGAGCTGATGGTACAGATTGTGATGAGAAGCAAATGAAATAATGAGTGTAAAAGCATTTTTGTAAATGGTGCGGTATCTGTGGCAGGCCTGGCTGGTTCTCCACCACAGACTCCTGCACCTCTTCTGCAGTGGAGTGCTATTGCTGGAAAGCAGCTGCCCAGCCAGAAACTACATTTCCCAGGCCCCCTTGCATCTTGAAGGAGACATGTGACTGAGTTCTGGCCAAAGGAATGTCACATGGCCATGACAATCTCCAAAGGGACTCTTCATACTCTGTTTTCCTCGTGTGCTTTCTGGAGTGTTCCTAGTTGGGGCAGCCCTGGAAGTCACCTTTTTGGTTTTGGTTGTGTTTTGTCTTGTTTTTTGTTTTTGAGACAGGCTCTCGCTCTGTCACCCAAGATGGAGTGCAGTGGTGTGATCTCAGCTCACTGCAGCCTCAACCTCCGGGGTCCAAGTGATCCTCCCACCTCAGCCTCCTAAGTAGCTGAAACTAAAGGCACGCACCACCACGCCCAGCTATTTTTTGTAGAGATGGGGTTTTTCCACATTGCCCAGGCTGGTCCTGAACTCCTAAGCTCAAGCAATCCATCTGCCTTGGCCTCCCAAAGTGCTGGGATGAAAGGCATGAGCCTTGCGCCCAGCCAAGTCACTTTTTGAAGATGGCAATGACTCCTCCAGCCTGGATACTTTAATAACTCTGTGGAGCCAAGCATCCTACCCACTCACCCTCTTAGACCTTATGGGAATGAGAAAGACCTTTCTATAATGTTAAGACTCTGAAATTTCTGCATTCTTCTGTTGTTACAGAAGGAGCTAGCATTATTTTGACTAACATATGACTTTGTAAATGCTGTGGAAGGCAGCTTCTGAAATGGCTTTCAAAGATCAATCACTCCTGCCTCCTGGTAGTCACATCTTTATAGAATCTGTCCCCCTTGAGTATGATCTGGACGCAGAGCCTTGCTTCTAATGGATAAGAACATGGCAAAAGTGATGGAATGTCACTTCTGAGACTAGGTTACAAAAGCCTATAGCTTCAGTCTTGCTCCCTTTCACTCTTTGTTCACTCTGATGAAGCAAACTACCCCGCTCTGAGCTGCCCTCTGGAGAGACTCACCTGGCAAGGAACTGAGGGCAACCTCTGGCCAATGGCTGATGAGAAACTGAGGCTCTGGGTCTAATAGCCAAGGAGGAAGTGCATCCGGCCAACAACCATATGAGTGATCTTGGAAGCAAATTCTTCCTTAGTCAAGCCTTGAGATGTCTACAGCCCGGCTGACACTGTGATTGCAGCATTGTGAGAGACCCTGAGTGAGAGGATCCACCTAAGCCACACCCAGATTCCTGACCACAGAAACTGTGAGATAATCACTGTTCTTTTTGTTAAGCTGCTAAATTTTGGGGTAATTTGTTAAGCACTGATAGATAAGTAATGCAGATGTAAAAATTTATTATTTCATTAATACAACCTGTGTGCACTTTGATTCATTTGACTGTGGCAGGTGTTAGATACCAGGCTAAGGAATTTAGACATTAATCAATAAGCACGGCTTTCATGGAGTAATGACAGAGTGTGAAGCAAAAGCCCTGATGGACACAGGAGCAAATCAGTCTTTGGACCAGAAGGTAAATGACAGTTACATGTGTAAATTTTGTTTTAGACAGAGTCTTGCTCTGTCACCCAGGCTGGAGTGCAGTGGCGTGATCTCAGCTCACTGCAACCTTCAACTCCCTGGTTCAAGCAATTCTCCTGCCTCAGCCTCCTGAGTAGCTGAAATTAGAGGCAGTGGCCACCTCTCCCAGCCAATTTTTGTATTTTTAGTAGAGATAGGGTCTCACCATGTTGGCCAGGCTGATCTTAAACTCCTGACCTCAAGTGATCTACCCACCTCAGCCTCCCAAAGTCTGGGATTAGAGGCATGAGCCACCATGCCCCATGTGTAAATTTCTATCTCCTCCTGCAGAGACATGGACTAGGCTCTTCTCCCTCTTCCTTTCTTTTTTTGAGCACCTTCCAATCTCAACACAGCTCCAAGACCTCCAGATAGGTGCAGGAGTGGTGCTCCTGATGTCTTCCTCCATCTCAGATCCTGCTCTTTCTGGAGACTAGTTTTTATCACGGTTCCCGCCTATTCAGGGAACTTCTTATTCAGTTTTACCTGAGTTCCTTTGCATGTTTATGGATGAAATGAGCTCTTGATCTTTTAACTTTTTGAGATAACTTTAATGAGTTCTGCTTCCTTGCAACCAAGTAATCTAAATAATTCAGTTCCTTAATTAATATCCTCTTTAGCACCGAACTTAGCACCAGTATTCACAAGGGAAAAGAAATGATTTGGAAATTCATGAGCACCCAGATGTGCTGGGCCACTGCCCTTGCTGGGCTCTCCACCCTGAGCTCTGTTAGGCTGATACCTCTCTCTGCTGAGCTGACACCATTCATTCACGAGGCATCTGTTAAATGGCATTTCTTTGGGGATGTCTTTCTTATCACCACCTCCCCATGCCCCAACTAAAGCAGGGGCTGGTACAATGAACTTCCAGAGTACCTTGTATTTCTAAAATCTTACCATGGATGAAGACTTATTGGGATGGCTCACTGATGTTTCCCTCGTCCCCTCCAAACATCCACTTTCCTTTGTCAGCGTTGCTCACCAGATACCTCCCAATATCTGTTAGCTAGCAGTACGTGCTGACCGATGGGGTAACTCCAGATGGGTTCCCACACACAGTGTGCTTGACGAGGAGTGGGTGGGTACTTTTTGACAGATCTCCTTGCTGTCCTAACAACTCTTTCCTAAAGGGTTGAAATAGATACCCCAAACTGCTCAAGGTGCAATCAGGAGGGATTTTTTGGGGGGTCCTCTCAGGATTCCCCAGGGGTTTTGGGAGTGGCTCCTTTCGCTAGGAAGGGCCCAGGAAGAGCTGGCTGTGCTCACTGCCCTAAGTGAGGACTCCAAGCTGTTACCACTCCTCCCAACCTGTAGCAGCTCCAGGTGCCCCAGACAAGTGAGGCCTTGCTCGAGGCTAACACTGGTGGACAGGGCCAGGGGAAGAAAGGGGAGGGAGCAGCTCTCCAGAAAACCAGAGCCCTTCTCTCCTCCCAGCTGCTCCTGCAGTGCTGCGTGAAAATGCCTAATTGCTTCATAATTCTAGGATCCACAAAAATGAATTTTAATTACACTTGCAGTTACGCTTTAATTACAGCCTTACTTATTAAGCATATACTAGGCATGCTCAGAACTAAGCAGTTTTTGAAGGGATTCTCATGTTCAAATACAAAGCTCATCTGTGATGAGAAATGGGTCATATGCAGAGCCATTGTGACCAGGCAGAAACTTGTTACAGAAGGGGAAGGGAGTAGAGAGAGACAGAGAGGAGAAAGAGAGAGAGAGAGAGAGAGAGACAAATGAAGAGAGAGACAAGAGACAGAGGCATGGGGAATAGTCCAAAAAGGAACAGACATATGAAAATAAAGAGACAGGTAGAGAGTAAGAGAAAGTAAAGGAAAAAAGTGAGTTTGCCACGTGCCTTACACACCAGCCT